CTGATAGTAGTGTGATACCTGTGAAGTTAGTCGGCGCATTAGCTGGGATATCTTTTCTTTGTTGTCTTGATGAGGTATCCTTCTTTCCAGTCTGTCGGCACTTGTTCTTCCTCCCGAAACCTTTAAAATAGAGTGTGAAGCATTTTTGCAGTTACCTCTATGTCAGACTTGTGCTTCGACTGGTACACTGTCAAGTCCTGCTGCTTTCTTACTCTTGATTCGTCTTATAGCCATGGTGGCTTAGACTGTTGTCGGGTGACATCTATAGGAGTGCTGCTTCGATGTCCGAAAGGGTACAGTGTGGCTAGTCCATTCGAGAGTTCTTCAAAGCTTTCTGCTCACTTGTTCCTCGGCTTTAAAATCCCAGTGATTAACCCTGCTCCTCTGTTCTTGACCGGTTGCTCTGGTTTACTCCATTTCACTGCCAGTTTCCACGTCGCATCATGTTGCTGTCTCATATTCCCTTGTCCTACAACTCTTTCCAATGTCATTGCTAAGTCTCTCACTTCTTTCCGCCTGTCGGTTTTGATGCTCCTTTCCACTCTCTTATTTGCCCCCGCGTATCTTGCTTGTGTTTTAACTTTCTCTGCTCTTGTAGTACCGTTTCTAACTGCTCTCTTCTTGGTCTGCTTTTTTCAAATCTTCACAAAGTATAAATATATATCCATCATTCTTGGTGGTGCTTCTTGCTGTTCATTATGTTTCTTTGGTTGTCCAGTGTTTCTTTCAGCTTCATCACTAGATTGTGATATGAAGGTATATCAGCTTTTCTGTTGGTTCTTATGTCTTCCAAAGATCTTCTGTACATTTTACTGATGCAAATGTGACCGATGTAGTTCTCTTTTCAAAATGCTTAGTATGAATTTTAATGCAGCAAGGTATGGATGACAGTGGAAAAATTAAAAATATTCACAAAAATTTAGAGAAAAAAGATATTAGTTTCGTTTGGCTCTACTCTCTGCCTGGAAAAGTAGTTTTGTGGTTGCAGACGTATTATCGTTTTGAAGTTCTTGATAAATCTCAAAGAAATCTACGATAATTAATATTTGTGCTCGACTGAATTTTCATTACTGCTATTTAATAAAGCTAGCGGATAAAAACAAGTATATGTATATTTATGATCGATCTAAATGTTTAATAGTTGTAACTAAACTAACCAATTCAAATGTATCTTGGCAATTCCTAAAAGGAATGATCAGAGCTTAACATTGTGTGACGTTTTATATCTATTGAGTATGTTTCAGAAGTGTTTAACGTACATGATTAGTTCATCAACTACGTAATAACCTACAGAACAGCGAAAGTTTGGAGGAATCATTAAGGCTCAAAAGATAACGTGTGAGAAACACACTTAGACTCGCTAAAAGAAAATTTTCTTTACAAATGAAGAGTAACTATAAGACTATGCAAATAGAATTTATAAGAACAATAAGTTTGCAAAAATGATCACTGCATAGCAACACCAAGTTGTACCTTCTAAACCCGTTGAGATAACATATATATGTTAAAAAAAATTTACCTCACTGTCCTTCTACCATATTAAATCTTTGGTGATAAACAAAAAAAACTCAATTCAAATAAAGAAAGCAAATGAAATTGATAAATTTCACAATAGTATAATATCCAAGTGAAATAATACGAAATTTCTGCCATTTAGAAAAGTTCAATGGAAAATTTATAGAGTATCACTTAACATCTAAACAAATGAAAGTTGTTTGACTAAAGTTACGTGCTAAAAAGTAGCAGTTTTATAGAATTCAATATTTTTCATGAAATACTAGAGCATAGTTGAAACTAAACTAGTGCAAATTTAAGTGACAATGTCAGGTATTGAAACAAATCCAAACATTTTAAAAATGTATGGAATAGTAATAATGATAGGAGGATGACCATAAAACAAAATGATGTTTACAACCTATCCTAAAAGTTAAACAACGAATCAAGAAGTATAGGAATTTCTCACGCCGTAAAGATATAAATAATATTGGCTATTCAATCTTCGAAATCTTCATATGAATTTTCTTTTAAGCTTGTCAAACCATCGTCATGATGTCTGTGTACAAAAAAAAGAATAGTTAATCTAAGTTATTCTTCCTGAGAGTACGCAAAACTTGAAAGTAGTTTTCATTACAAAAGGTTGGAGTAAGGAACTATCTTCTAGCGATTGACAGCGACTAACGTAAATAAAGTATTCTTCAACGTTTTCTACCAAACGAATTATAGGGGTCTTTAAAATTCACCATATGACACATTATTAAGGATTTAAGATCATCTAAAAATTTCTTGGAAATCATACTAGTCGGTAAATAATACTTCATCCCTAAATACCTAATACTCGAAAATACTGCATTATTCATTTATAAAAACTATCCATAAAACTCCAACTACATATTGTACATTATGCTCATATATATATATATATATATATACGACTAGCTGGAATGAATGGCTGAAAAGTGTCAATGCATTGACCTGAACAAAAACTAAAAATTGAAAAGGAAATGTTTGTTTATATAGTAACACTCCATGAGCCTGGAATACACAACGGAGTTGGAAAACTAAAGGCGATAACAAAAAATCATATGGCAGCAAAGGTTATTGCGGAAAAATGAATTTAGAAAATATTATCGAAGTTATTCGTCAAAGGAATGACTAACATATAATAACAAAAAACTGGAAAACCTGAGCGCCTTTTAGGGAAAGTGTTGTATCCAGAGGAGAATTATGAATGGTAACTTTTGAGGACTACTTATTGGCCAATATAATATGTATATTTCCTATTGTAATCAACCTAATCATATTCGTTTCCTCTTATCATTAGCTTTATTTTGACCTTTGACTTATTATCATATGATTCTTGAGTTATCATCAGTTTGTTGATTACTATTCACAGTCACATTCGGCTAAATATTGTACAAATGTTATTTTCTATTTTGTGATACGATTTGGTCAGTCTGTTTTGTATATAAACTCAGTATGTTTGAAATACAATGATTCATACCACTGAGGCTGTAATTGGTGTTTTGGGCTTAACTGGTTGGGCTAGGCAGATCGCAGGACCGGTTAGCACTCTAGTCTGCTCGTACGGTTTCGTGTGTCACTGTTCCCTTCGATAATTCGCTGCTCCCTGATTGGCGGTCTCATCAAGTCACACATTATCAAGTCATCCACTCGGCCACAAGATATAACAGGAAGTGAATCCATAATTTCACTTAGTTTTGCAAAAAAATCTACACATTAAGAAAAATAAGTAAGAAAATAATAATTTTCCAAAAAGAACTAACTGATTATACTGGATGAATCGTTCGTGGTATGCCCGAGTATAAAAGCTCGCATATTGTTTGCTATTAACCGAATATTGAAAAAAAATAGACAAATGAATTCCACAAGTAAAGGGTTATCATTGTTCATGATGGCAAATAAAAAAATAGTACAAAAACATATTAAAGTGAAAATTCCCATTTTGACATTTGATAAATAAAAAGGAACGAATCGAGCGAAGAAATTTTCGCTATAGCAAAATGGTTAGTGCAAATTCTCAAACCACTACACAAGGAAATGGTTAAACATAGTGTCAAGAATTGCTTTGAATTTGTCAATAATATAAAAAAAATCTATCGCTCAATAAATTTATGATATCATTAGATGTAACGTCCCTATTTATCAACATTCCTCTACTTGAAACGGTAGATTTTATTTGCAATGAATTAACAGAGAGGAACTTAGAAACGGTAATTCCCGTATCCGCAATAAAACAGTTAATTCTTAGATGCACAATGAATGTTCAATTCCGATTTGACAATGAGTATTATAGACAATTGGATGGGGTAGCCATGGGTTCACCATTGGGCCCTATACTGGCAGACATTTTTCTGGCAAAACTAGAAAATGGTGCACTCAAAGACACAATTAGCCATCTAACATCATATTGTCGCTATATAGATGATACCTTCATAGTATTAGAAAAAAAAACATGAAAAGGAGAACATCCTTAATATATTTAATAATATCCACCCATCAATTACGTTTACACTAGAAGAAGAACAGAATGGTAGTATATCGTTTTTAGATGTCCAACTAACCAGAAGAGTAGATGGAACATTAAAAAGAAGATTACATAGAAAATCTACAGTTGGACAGTACACTCATTTCTATAGCGCAGTACCAATGAAATACAAAAGAAACCTAATAAAGATCCTAACTCATCGTGCTAGAATGATTTGCTCTGACGACATTATTTTAGATGAATTGGTTAATATTCAAAACTTGCTTAGTAGGAATGGGTACCCAATGAAATTCATTGACAAACACATGAAAAGAAGGACTACGGTACCTACCGTTCCGAAGAAGGTATTGTTCCTAAAGTTACAATTCTTAAATGATGCTACGGAGAAAATCTTGACACAGAGATTAAGAAGGGCAGTACAGAAAACATTTAATGCAGCCCGACTTAGTACTGTCTTCTACAACAGCCCACAATAAGAACTGTTAATAAAGACAGATTGCCTGAATTCGCCACATCTATGTGTATTTACCAATTCAACTGCTCCTGTGGAGCCAGTTATATAGGGCGTACAATTCGACAAGTTCGTCAACGAATAACAGAACATCATCCGTCGTGGTTGACCAAAGGACAGGTAAAGGGGATTAAGAGTTCTATTCTCGCTCACTTGGTGGACACAGGTCATCAGGTTGAACTGAATAAAGCTTTTAAGGTTATCTACCATATTCGATCAAATTTGCCACATGATTTACGAGCTCGTCTATTGCACATAGCTGAAGCCATCGCAATTCATATTCAAAAACCGAACCTTTGTATCCAAAAGAAGTTTGTACAACCACTCTCGCTACCTTGGCCATCGGTATAGCGGAGTTTGTAGCATAATTTCGGTAAACAATTATCTTATTCCTTCCATTTTTTGTATTTTTGTATTTTACTTATTCTCTTCATTCGTCTCTTGACTCTTACATAACTACTATACTACTGACCATTCATTGAAATATTTTGTTAGTTCTTTCTTCTCTTTTTATATATTGTGCAACGTAGCAACTGATTGATTTCCAAATAATAACTTTGATTAGTATTAATCCTTCTCTTCCAATTAATGTTAGTTTATAATCGATGTCATTATATAATTATTACGTAACGTATCTACTCCATGAGTGTTATTTAATTATTGTAAATCATTAGTGTAGAGCCATGATGAAAAACTAATTGAAAAGAAAAAACATATTAGAAAAAAATATGGTTGTAAGTCGGAAAAAACATTTTCCGAGAGAGTTTATTCTCCTTAATTCCATTTCAGTAAAAATTTTGTTCGTAACAACAATTCATCATATTGAGAAAACAATGGAGTGATAATGAATATAACAAACTATCATTTGCGAAAACTTACTTACACCTGTCATCCCTCATAGATGAGCATAGGTCGCTCACCAGCATTCTGCATACAATTCTGTACTGAGCAATTCTTTCCAGTTGCTTGCTTGTTTGCTTCTATGTATTCAGTTTTTGCCTTGACTTTCTCTGTTCGTGTTCGGCTGTTGTTGATGGCTGCCTTCTTATTTTTTCTTTCTTGAATCTTGTCTAGGGTTTCGATACAGATACACTCCTTATGATGATGCTTCTTGTGACCCAACACCTCCTGACACGTTGAAGTCAATGCTTCTTTGATCCCTTTCCAGATGTTTTCTATAGAAGTTTCTTCTTTTTTCAGTAGATCATGTGAGGCTTGGGACCTGTTTTTGTGAGCTATCTTGAATTCGTTGAGTTTGAAAGTATCTCGAAGAAAGGCTGTACTGAGCCGTCATAATGCTGTTTGTCTAGATGTCCAGTGTTTTTATAGCTTCAGTTCCGTCTTGGCCATAACCAGGTGGTGATCCGAAGCTATGTTAGCTTTTCTGCAGGTTTTGGTTCTGAACAGTCGTATATATATATATATATATATATATATATATATATATATATATATATATATATATATTCAATTTAAAAACGAACATTACGACTAAAGAGGCAATAGCTTACTTTTTAATAAATGTATATATAGAAATAAAGTAGGTGAACACTGCTATTAGTGTTGTTGAAATGAAAATCGATCGTGATATATTAGGGTTTCTTTTAGTGTTGCATTTATTTCCCCCAAAACGCATAGCACGTCTATAAATTAAACATTAAAGAAGGATGGATAGAGAATAAATTATAGGATGTCACTTAAATATTTGTTACTGTGTGATGTCTAGATGTATCTGATAATCAAATATACATAACTCTGAGTCCAATAGAAAATTACGAATACACCGAACTTTATCATTACTTGCTGCTTGAACTTAAAATGTTACGGTACATGCTTACGAAGAATGTTAACATTAGTTGTTGCTGACAGCTTACTTATGAAGTCACTGGGATCAACTTATAACTTAGAGAAGATTCAGTTTACAATAATGGGAACTGTCATAATAGTTGAACTTGTAAACTGTAAATAATGGAATAGAGTTTAATTACATCTGAATTATACTAGATCTTTGTTCTGAATGATAATTACAAAGGTGTCATCAAAATCATCAACGCAAACAACAAGAATAATATTTTTAACAGTTGAATTCACGGGTCGATCTAAGCTATACCACCATTGAAAACCTAGAGAAACTGAATGACGGTTTCGTTCTAGTATAGGACTCCTCAGGAGTGTGCATCCACGATCCCACAATCCGGACTCGGACCCAGGACCTTCGGTCTGCCGCACAAACACTTAACCTCTAGATTGCTGAGCCGGCATTCGACGGCGGTAATCTCTAACTCCAATCTATCCATGATCTTTCGCGACCCTTCATCCATTGTTTGGGGTGGATAACTCTCTCACACCCGACATAGATTGAATCCCGGCTACGTGATCCAGAGGTTAAGTGTTTGTGAAGGACACTGAAGGTGCCGGGTTTGAGCCCCGCGTGTGGGACCATGGATGCACACTGTTGAGAAGTCCCATACGAAGACGAAACGGCCATCTAGTGTTTCTAGGATTTCAATGGTGGTATATATTAGATCAACTCGTGAATTCAACTGTTGAAAACACTACGACCTCCCCATACTGATAATATTCTTTTATGTACTCAACCTTTTGAAATGTTTAAATTTGTTAGCTATTAATAAATGTAAGTGGTTCGGAAAAAAGACCATAACGTTGATAACACAAGATGAAAGTGTATGAATATCAATCGGTGATGTCTACAATTTCTGCATCCGAAAGTTCCATTTATCAGATATTTAAACCTGAATACGAGATTAAAATAACTAACTAGTTACAAAACTAGGTCATATACCTAACATTGATGGAAAAGTACAGACTGGATCACGAAATAACATCTTACATAAAAGGGAATTGATACATACGGAAACGACTCAAGATAATATTGACCGTTGCTGCTACCTTCACGTGGTGGTCGGGCTTGCCTATCGTGATGAAGCAATCGAGCTATGCTGGCTAGAACAATCGTTCCTCAAGGTCCTACCATGCCAGACAGGTCGGCTGAAGAGCGGTAAGACTAAAAGCAGCAATCCCAAGGTCCGAAGGCGAAGTCGTACTGCCAACTGTACAGAGGTGTGACGGCAGTAAGGTGTTTCCTTCAGACAACCAGCATGACAGCGATTCTGCCTCCCCACAAGGAGGGGTGGGGTTAGAAAAGGTCGACTCTAAAAATACACACTTCGCCTTATCCCACGGATTTCTGTCTACGGCGGTAAGGTCCTTTGAAGAACGGAGCTAACACGTCAAAAATCCCCCACAAATAGGCCGTGCGTGACCGGCCTCAAGCAGTTGTCCCTTGGGCACTGCGGTCACGCTCCCAGGTCGTTAAGACCAACACTAATCTAACTTCTTTTTCAGGTCCCTCAAGAAATACCCTTCCATGGTGTGGGCAGCCGGGAAGTTATATTAGCCCTCATACCCGTAACTGCACACGAGACCAAGTTGGTCACTTTCAAATCCCTCCTACACCTAATAACTCTCTTATCTCCACGACTAACCCTTCCCACGTCCTTTTATCTCCTCGCACCGCTAGGGCAAACGATTCAAGTACACGGAACGTTATTCCTGGTCTCCTGAAACCACGCTCTAAACTACATATAGGAACTTTTAATGTCCGAACATTGTGCCAAATAGGACAAAAGGCTTCCTTAGCTAGGACTCTAGAATCTTACACCATCGATGTGTGCTGCGTCTCCGAAACGCGCATACAAGATCCGAGTAGCGTCATTCATTTGACCTCACTATATCAAAATAAAGAACCATCTCGATACACACTTCGTGCATCTGGAAGCCCTGATGCAGAACTAGCTCTTTTAGACTGGATTCCAGTAGACAATCGTCTATGCGCTGTCCGACTAAACGGATCAGTAAGAACTCGGGAAACTCGTCGTTGCCTCTTCGACGTCTCTGCCTACTCTCCCACTGACTGCAGCTCAGATGATATAAAAGATGAGTTTTACAGGAAACTTTCTGACCTTCTCCGAAAAGCTAGGCGTTCTGATGTAGTAATAGTGGCTGGTGACTTTAATACTCAAGTAGGTAAACTAAGTGAAAGACACCTGAGTGGATCTTATGGTGTCGTGGCTAAAAGAACAGATAATGGCGACCGTCTGTTTCTTGCAAATACTAATTTTAAGCATAAGGGAAAACATCTTTTGACATGGCGACCCCTGAATTCGTCCCAACGTTGGACCCAATTAGATCACATCGCTATCAGCCACCGTTGGAGGGGCTCGATAGAAGACTGTCGCTCATTCTAGGGCACATGTTTAGACTCAGATCATGCTCTAGTGCGAGCACGTATCTGTCTGCGTCTTACTGGACGTAGGAAAGACACTGCAGGGAAGCCCCTAAGGGTACTATTTAATGATAAGCAAGCTAAGAATATATTTCAGGAACAACTGGAAAAACAGTTAGACAGACATGTAAGTTGTGCCCACCCCGAAGCAGCGTGGAATGACATCCGAAAAGCTGTGGAAACAGCTGTGATATCCGCTAGTAAGGTAAGCCATAAGGTTAGGGAGAAACAATGGATCTCGACAGCATCTACCGCACTGATAGATGCTGGAAAACTCATCCCACCTGGCTCTGAACATAACGAAGAGCGGAGTTAGCTTAAGCGAAGGCTAATAAGAAGCCTACGCAATGATAGTGAACAGTGGTGGGTAGCGAAAGCAAGAGAGATGGAAAAGGCAGCGGCAATAGGTAACAGCAGACAGCTATTCAGACTTATTAAAGAAACCGGTATTAGGAACCCAACTATTAGCGAAACTATCTCAGACAAAGATGGGCATATCATTCATTCTCAATCCAAGAGATTGGATCGATGGGCAGAACACTTTAGGGATCAGTTCAACTGGCCTTCAGTCACACTTCAGTTACCCACGATCCCCAGTCGTCCTGAATGGCAAATTGAGGTAAGTCCTCCAACTCTCTACGAGGTTGAAAAAGCTATAGGAAATCTAAAGCGAGGGAGAGCCGCAGGCCCTGACAGGTTTACTCCCGAGATGGTCGTCCGGTATTGGCAGTGAGATTGACTGAAGTTTTAGGTAGAATCTGGGAACTGGACGTAATTCCATCTGACTGGTCCCAATCACTGGTTGTGCCAGTCTACAAGAAAAGACAAAAGTTCTCTTGTGACAGTCACAGAGGAATCACTTTGACCAATATAGTGTCTAAAAAATTAGTTTCAATAATACTTTGATGCCCAACTAAAGCTTGCGAAGACCAGACTAGAGAAAACCAGGCTGGTTTCCGATCTGGACGTGGTTGCATAGACCAGATTTTCACTCTACGTCAAGCCCTAGAACATAGACATACATTCAAACGTCCCACAATAGTAGTATTTCTTGACCTTAAGGCGGCATTTGACTCCGTTGATCGTGAGGTTCTATGGCAGCGTTTGTCAGTGAAAGGAGTACCAAAGAAGTACATTAACCTCATAAAGGCTCTCTACTCGAACACAACTGGTCGAGTTACAGCCTATGGCGAGCTGTCATCAGAATTGGTTACCTCAAGTGGTGTTCGTTAGGGCTGTCCAATCTCCCCATTCTTGTTTAACTTTGTCATTGACATGCTTTTAGAGATAACACTTTCATCAGCTAAACCTCCAGGAGTTGAACTTTTACCGGGAGGCTCACTTGTTGACTTAGAATACGCCGACGACATAGTTTTATTCGGTGAAGACGCTGACAAAATGCAGAGTCTTCTGACCACTATAAGCAACTATGCAGGCATGTTCGGGATGCGATTCTCTCCCTCGAAGTGCAAAATGTTACTTCAGGATTGGGTTGCATCGAAACCTGAACTAATGATAGGGAGTGAAGTAGTTGAGTGTGTTGACAGCTTCACTTATCTTGGGAGTCTCTGCCCTTGTGGTTTGGTGTATGACGAAATCTCAGCACGGATACAGAAGGCTCGTCTAGCTTTCGCCAACTTGCGCCATTTATGGCGTAGGCAAGATATCCATCTAGCAACAAAAGGACGGGTTTACTGTGCGGCAGTTCATTCCGTCCTACTTTATGGCAGTGAAACATGGCCGATAAGAGTAGAGGATAATCGTAGACTACTAGTGTTCGATCATAGGTGTCTTCGAAGCATTGCTCGTATGTCCTGGGACCACCGAGTAAGTAATGCAGATGTTAGGGAACGGGTACTACGTAAGGATGGCAAATCGATTGATGAAGCAGTGAAACTTCATCATGGGAGATGGCTGGGACATGTGTTACGTATGCCCAACCACCGACTGCCCCGACGTGCAATGCTTTATGGTGTAGGAGCAGGTTGGAAGAAAGCTAGGGGCGGCCAGACCAAAACATGGCATAAATCCATGAAGTCGCTGACAAATAGACTGGGCCATGTTGGTAGGTGTAGACTACCTGGTTGGGATCCGCGTGATGATAGCAACCGATGGTTAGAGACCTTGAATGATATGGCTCAAAATCGTTTGCGATGGCGAAGGTGCATCCACTCTTTGTGCTCTACCAAATTCTAATCTTCTGAATTCCACATGCACCTATCCTTCTTCTCTTTACAAATTTGTTTCACTGAATTATACTCCTTCAATAACATCTTTAAACCCTTATCTTTCACATAATACTTATACTCTTACTACTTCTACCACTATGGGATTTGAATCGACAACTGCATCTCTGTGCTAATGTGGTATGGCAACTCGAACTGATGTACGCACGTACGAAGTCCTACATTGTAACTGACTGACTGATAAAATGGTATTGTGGTATGGACTACTTATATCCACATGAGTAGTATATAACGATGGTCGGGCATTGAATGTATTTTAGTAGAAGATCGATAAGAAGAGAACGGGAACGGACGCAATTGGTGTGAAAATGCATGAACAATAATAATCGGAGACTATGGACTGATATTTGCAGAACGAATGGTCAAGATTGAGACAATTGATTGATAGTTTGCAAATTAACTATTTACTATATGGTTCTCACATTTTACTCTGTAATTCTGTGCCTAAATACATTCGATTGTCCCCACTCGTTTTCTTGTTCAGTACAGTATTACTGAGTTGGTCATTTAAAACTAAAAGTACTTCCTTCTAAAAAGAACATTATTCATAATTATTAAAATGTCTTCCTTTTTAAAGGGAATAAAAGGTTTTCAACCACGTGGTTTTTGCGTGAGGACTAAAGATAATAACTGATCTCTCAAACGTAAGTAGACTTAAAAAAGGTCAAACTAGTGACTAAGTGGCTGAAATCCTAGCAGCTGAAAATTGACTCACTGAACAAAACGTAGGCTATTAGTATAGACTTACAAGTGGAAATTAAAATCACGCTCCCAATTTGAAACGTCGTATTCATTTGGCGAGTTAGTGAATGATGGTTTAGCTCTTGATGCTAAAGAGAAATCGTAAATTCGTCTACTTTTCTCTTGAGAAAGAACAGAGTACGCTTCGTTGATCCTTTTAAACATCTCAATATCACCGTCATTTTTATCAGGATGATACTGTATAAATAACAGATTATAAAAGTAATTAACAGCTTACTTTTTTCGATAGTTCGATAAAAGCTGAACGAATTTCACTATACGAAGCGGATTTCCCAATTCCTAATGTATCATAATGTGTTTGAGATGAAACCAAACGACGAAAATTATACAAGGATTGAAAACTATTTGTTCGGTAAAGTCCAGTGTTCATAGATAGCCAGAAGATTTAACAATCATAGCACGCACAAATTGAATACTAGCTTAACTGAAATGTAGAAAAAATACTTATCACAAACCAAGACCTGAAGAAAATCATAATTTACATGGAGGTACTACAATAAAGTAACCTGTATCTGTCTATTAAAGGCGATATATATAAAACTAAGTTTCGTGGTCGATGATATTTATTACTGATGGATCTGAAGCCTTTAAGAGTTAGTGACTCCACAAAAATCTAGTTGAGTTGTTACTCAATACTGAAGTTAGATATGTGATCCACTAATTATTTGAACAACTGATGAGCTTACGTATGATCCAACTGACCATGACAATTAGACAGTATAAGTGACTAGTTTGTTCAGTGAGTAAAACATGTTTGATTTCAAGAAAGAGCATCACTCCTGCTAGATTACGAGTATAAACTTAATGAGTCCTAGTTTTTTGTCAATAGCTATCAGTTATCTGACTGAAAAAAAGATGGAATATGGTTAGCGAGCCCTCAGTTAAGTCGTCAAACAATTTGATGCTCTAATGTTCCCTAATTTCCGGCGTGAATAATTACGAATAAAAAAAATGTTTTTCAAATTGATGTTCATAAGATTATCATATGAGAAATTTTTTTAGCGTGATACTGACTCTGAGGAAGTTGTGTATGAGTCTTATGTTAAATAATAGATGTTGTGACTAAATACTCTTCGATTCCTCCACTTAAGTCACCTAGATATAATCTACCACACCTTGAACCTCTTTTCTTCAAAGTAGTTACAGACACCAATTAGTATAAGGACAAATTATCACTACAACGCGTATAAATGCAAGTGACATCACTGATCCGCCCATTTAAATTTTAACTACTGGGTCATAGATTCAAACTCTGTTCCACTGACTACGAGTCGTGTTGACTAGCATATTTAGTTTTAAGAAATAAATATTCAACGCTAAGTAGATGATAAACTAGTAGCAAAAATAGTCATCAGTTAACAGCATTTGGGGTTTTAAGCTGAAAGACAAAATTCTGCGGAATAATAACAAAAGTTAACTGAGAATCTCATTACAAAATTAACCATAAAGATCGATAAAAATAAGTTTATTTTACTCCTTCCATATAATTTATCGATTGCTAAATTTAGTTTTGTCACAACTTTCATGCAGTTTCTCAGTCTATTTATAATACGAATATTTTACTATTGTATCGATAACACTGACAATACTAAGTGAAACCATATACAGATCTGTAGCAACTGTACATTACGCAAATTTGTACCGACGTGACATCATTACTTATTCATCCTGTAAGACAAGCGTTCATTTATTTGGGAAGCCGGTTAATTTCTATTTCAGCTGTTGGTGTGCTCCGCCAGTAATCAGTTTTAAAAAAGGTTATCTTGCACGAACAATGAAGGACAGTAATTTAGTAAACAAAATAATTTCACAGCGTAAAATTCCCAAATAGAAGTCTACTTTTGAACGGAGAAGAATCCCACAAAGTACAATTCTTAATATAAGGTTTTGTAGCATGTTCACATTTCTTTTACTTCTAGTGGAAAATATGGGAACTCAAAGCCAAAAAGTTTTGAGTCGGTTAAATTAAACTAAACGAAAAATCGGAAAGCTGGGGTGATAGTGATAGGATTGAACACTAGATTTGAGCATACAAGGTTCAAAAATATCGACATTAATAAATGCAGTGTTGAAACTGGTAATTATATGTATCTATGCATGACGTTTTAAAATAGCGCATTAAACAAGCACCCCCAAAAGGTAAACTTAATATGGTCTATGTGAACAAATGTGGCACAAGCCTGCCATATGGTGAAAACAGACCAGTGCTAACTTATGAGTGACTTTATTCAAATATTGGTGGTGGAGTTATTTATTTAATCATATATATATATATATATATATATATATATATATATATTGGTACAAAGGGCACCGGATATATATGCGCCACACAAAATAATGAGAATGGGAGAAGGAAGATGTGTATATATAAAAGAAGGAAAAAAAGAAAAGGAGAAGAGTAATGATGGGGGGAACTGAAATGTACAACCAGAAGAGCTCTCTCAGTTAGGAAGGTTATGGCCACTCTTTATGAAGAAAGTAAAAGGTTACAGCAGGCACGCCACTGGCTTCTATTCTGAGCCATATCCGATAACGTCTCTAGCCACTGTGTTGCACCATCTCTCGGACCCCAGCCAGGAAGTCGTGAAGGACCAACAGAAGCTAGCCCTTTGCAGCTTTCTTTCATACCACGACACCATGTCATACACTGACCTCCTCTCCGCTTTTTCCAACCAGTCCCAGAGTCGGCAAATAATGCACGACGTGGAATTCTCTGGGACGACATTCGTAAAGCATGTCCACGCCACCGAAGTCGGTGTTTCAAGATGGTGACACCAATTGAATTATCGACTCTGCCCGAACACACGATGCCGAACCTCTGCATTACTAACATGGTGTTGCCACTGAATGTCAGCAATCCTTCGGAGACAACGATGATCGAACACAGAGAGACGTCCAACATCATCAACTCGGAGAGGCCAGGTTTCACAAGCATAGAGCAAAACTGCTCTCACCGACGCGTTGTAGATCCGACCTTTTACAGCCAGACTAACATCACGAAGGCGCCAAAGATGGCCCAGATTGGCATAAACTGCTCTGGCTTTCATTATACGTGCATCAATCTCATCACTCACGCCACCACCAGCACTTATGTAGCTAGATACACGAACTTCTCAACTACTTCAATCTGCTCACCATCCAGGGTGAGTACAGGATGAGAATCCTGCCAGTCTTGTAGGAGTACCTTGCACTTGGAGGGTGCAAAGCACATGCCGTACCTGCGGACACTGATTGCCAACTGATTAAGTGTGGATTGCATGCCTTGGGCATTATTGCACAGTAAGACAATATCATCAGCATACTCGAGGTCGAGAAATATTTCTCCAGGCAACATATCCACACCGCCATTACTTACATCCATCAGAGCTGTTTCCAGGATGTCATCGATGGCAAAGTTGAAGAGGAATGGTGAGATCGGGCAACCCTGCCTAACTCCGCTGGTCGAATGGAACAAGGGAGAAAGGTGGTTGTATGCCCTCACTCTGCCTGAGGTGTTCGTATACAGGGCCTTTAAGATGTTGATGAACTTCTCAGGCACAGCATTCTTCAATAGACTATCCCAGAGAACAGTCCTGTCCAACGAATCGAAGGCAGCCCTGATGTCAAGAAACACTACGATTGTTGGCCTGCGATAAGTATGACGGTGTTCTAACATTTGGCGGAGGGTGAAGATGTGATCAATGCATGCTCGACCAGAACGAAAACCAGCCTGCTCCTCGCGAGTCAAACGTTCTCGGGTTTTAAACAACCTACGAAGAATGATAAAAGTCAATAGTTTGGGCGATGGTGGTGGAGTCAGAGTTTATATTTAACTGACAATCAAAATGACTACCTCAGATGTAGTTAAACAAGACTGCCCATGTTCTTTTCTTTTTTTATTCGATTTCATTGTACCAATAAGATTGTGTTGACGACTTGAAGCTGTACTTGCCAAAATCGGTTGCAGTCTTTCTTATGCATTTACCCTGCTTTATTTCCTAAAACTGAAGCATAGTATTAACTCTTAACTTGCATTGTTTGGTTGGATTGGCTTTTCGGGCAGCACGTTTCAGATTTTGAAAGACATCGAAATTTCATTTACTTAGCTTCCGGCTTTTTATTTCATGGAGTTTCTGAGCACAGTTTGTTAATTAATTGTAGAGTGGTGAAATCTGTCTAAAGAACATATCATGAGGCTTATAAATGCCTATAATTTCCTAGTTCAACAATAGTGTACTCTTAGAGACGCCACAAGTTTTAGGTACTTAAATGTTAATTTAGCAAATATTCGAATATTCATTCATGCTGCTCATATTATTTTTATCACTGCTAAGACATCTGTCATACTACTAGAAAGTGAACTTATTTATTATTATAGGTCGCGTGATTCGCTTCATTATCAGTGATCGATAAACTAATTTTATTTGTTTTTCATTATATATCCACGAAACTGCCATTGTCGTTAAATGAAAACTCAGAACGTTTGTCTAAAAGCAGCATTGTTCGTGAATATGAATAGTTTACGCATTCTGCTAACGTTGAGTGAAAACTATTCTATGGTTATTGTAACCAGTTAGAATTTGGGGCTAAAATTTGGACAAACTGACATGTCGAAAAGTTTTTCTTACTACTTTTTGAGGAATGACTGTACCTCATCTGCTTATTAGTAAGATATACACATCCAGTGGATAATTCGGCGCTAGTTTCGAGGATAGGTAGATATTTAAATTCCGGGGAGTAGTGTTAACTTCAAGAAGTTCCCCTATAGTGGAAAAAATTCTCACTACTTATATCGAACTGGCGAACAAGGCGAAACTAAACCATATGGACGACCTTTGAACGAATTTTAAATGACCTTGAAAAATGTTAGCCAATCAGAAGACAGTTAGTATACAGTAAAAATATATTATACAAAACTCAAAAATTAAAGGGGATACCGTTCTTTCACATGACTCAAGAACTTATCAAGGTTAGATATAGGTTCATAAGTTCTAAAATCATAGTGCATCCGGCACAGGAACTCATCCATGTGGTTCCATAGTAGTCGACTTCTGGGACCATGATAAGGTTTCAAAAATTCTTTTAGCCTCGACCACATAGCTTCAATGTTGTTTATGTCGGTATGGTTTAAGGTTTAGGGTTAAGGATGGGACTATTAATTATGGACGACCTTTGAGCGACGCTAGTGACTCTGAGAGTGTCAACATAATAACTAAGACTAAATGAGGGTTATAAACCTATGTGAAGAATTCAAATTATGATTTACAGCTCATGGTCAAGGTTAGGAATTATACTTAGGCTTTTCATTACGAGCTGACATCAGCTATAATGCCGAAACTCTATTTATCCACATGGATAATTGGATTTCGCGCCAAAATCTTACTATCACCTGTAGACGCTGAATTATTACGTCTTCTCTAAAATCTGTTGTGAACCGACCGTACGTAAGCATCAGGTACCGAACTTAGCGCCGTGACCTTGAAAACCCGCGAAAGCTTCTGATTGACTCGTCCATATAGTTTAGTCTCGTCGCGAACAAGGCGACTATTTGATACATTGTTATCCGTTTTCACTGAAATTTCTCAAAGACACCAAACAACAAATAAAATGGAAATCAAGTCAAACAAAGTAGTAATAATAAGGATGACGGAGTGAAATAAAAAGGAAAAAGGTTGATTTTACTTCTCTGACGTCGGTTACTTAAAATAAATTTTGGTTTTGTGCCCTTACGTCGTGCTTTTTGGGTAAAATATGCTGACAAGTACCTATAACGCTAGGGTTTTGAGTATGCCGCCCTCTAAACGTACTATATAATATATCTTACAAAAATAACTTTCCGTTTCATAAGAAAAGAGAAAAATTATCACAAAAACATGTCCGAATTTGTAGACATGGATTTCCTGAAACGTGTGTATTCAAGCTTTATTGTTTGTTTAACATATTGTTATGACAATTTTTGTGGCAGTTACAAACAACTTACGACATGCAAATAAGTGGCGTGCTCTGTTTTTTTAATACCATTAATTACTTTGTTTGTCATGTAAGATGCTCATAGACGTAGGGCAACAATGAACCTGCCAAGCGTCCTTGGTCGTCACGGATCGACACATAGCAGAAGGTGAAATAAAATGCTAAAGACTTTCATGGAGAAACATGACTTGTTTTCTTTGATTCAACTTGCTAATGAAGGCACGAGTAACGGTTAACACTGAAATTAATTGTGTTTAGAATATATCTTCTGTGACTACGCATGTTTAAGAAACTTCCCAATGACTTTCGTTCACGTGGAGCCTTGAATCCCTTTCCAAATTCCCATTCCAGTCTTATATGATATGGTTCAAATGGTTGAGGACGGAATAGAAGAAGCTTTCACTTAACGGGCTTCCGTGTCTGGTAGCAGTGGATCACCAATACCTCCAGGCAAGAACCTAGGTATATGAACGATAATAGAGGGGAAAAAAGAATTTGGTAAATCATAATAATATGTTATCCTTAGTCCTTAAGAATAAGTCAAGTTTTCTCTTAAAGGACTCCTGGGAGGTCGCTTGGACTAGCTCAGTCGGCAGCGAATTCCAGCACTTGACAACTCTAACGGAGTAGAAGTTGTGTCTGCAGTCTGTTCTGCTATGTAGGGTCTCCAATTTCTGGGTGTTACCTCTCAAGTTAGTGTTATGACTAAGATTAAGAAGTTGTTTAAGGGGATGACCAGAAGTATTAAGGATACTATAAGTCATAAGATCACCTCTAAGACGCCTGTACTCTAATGGGTAAAGGTTAAGTGATTTGAGGCGCTCTTCATAAGGTTTGAATATGAGACCCCGAACTGATTTCGTGGCTCGACGTTGTATACGTTCCAGAGTGACCTTATCCTTTTGGAGGGAGGGAGGAAATACTATGTTTCCGTACTCTAAATGAGGACTAATAAAACTGTTGAAGATTATGTGGAAGGTTCTACCGTCAAACTGGCCAAAAATGCGCTTCAATGTTACCAGTGCAAGGTTTGCTTGAGAGGCGTTTTTGTCACAGTTCGCATACGATTTCAGGTCGTAGGGTACCAACACTCCTAAATCTTTTTCAACTTGGGAAACTTCTAGAGGTGAGTTACCTAAGTTATAACTATAGTCTGCAACATGTCTCAGATGGACTACCTTGCACTTTGAAGTGTTGAAGGTAAGTCCGTTGCCGTCTGCCCAACTTTGAAGTCGAGTCAGATCCTCCTGCAGAACTAGTATATCATTGTGAGTACGTATCTCTCTCCAAAGTTTCACATCATCAGCAAAAAGCAATAAGTCAGATGAAACTTGTTGAGGAAGATCGTTAATATAAATCAAGAAGAGAAGAGGTCCTAGTATTGAACCCTGGGGGACCCCACTAGGACATTCCATAGCCTGAGAGAGAGTGTAGTTAACCCTGACCTTAAAATGTCGGTTTCCTAAATATGAAGAGAGCCAATCAATTAAAGGGGGTTTTATACCCAATCGTCCAAGCTTCTTGATAAGACATGCATGGTTGACCCTATTAAAAGCTTTTGAGAAGTCCAGGTAAATGACGTCAACCTTCCCCTTGCGATCAAGGATGGTTGTCCATCTATCCACCGCAGTCAGCAGGTTGGTCATACAAGAATGACCTTTTCTGAAACCATGCTGTTGAGGCGAGAAGAACTTTGAGGATGATAAGTATTCGTGTATACCGTCGTATATTAGAGACTCCATAATTTTTGAAGGTATGGAGAGAAGGGCCACTGGTCGGTAGCTTGAGGGTTCACTGCGTCGACCTCCTTTGAAAATTGGTGTGATGTGGGCCAGCTTCCATATTTCCGGTAGTTTGCCTCTGCTTAGCGAGTGTGCAAACATCACGCTAAGTGGTGTCGCCAGGACTGAAGCTGCTTCCCTCAATACAGCGGAATGAACCATGTCCGGACCAGGAGAAGTGTCTTTTCTTAGGTTCTGCAGTTTACGGAGCACCAATTCAGCACTCAGGTCCACTTCGGAAAGTCCTGTACAGGTGCAGGTGAAGCTTTCGTCAGTATGGTTGATGTGGGTCAGCTGGAATGTCCGGGAGTAATGTTCAGCCAAAAGGTTAGCGGCATCACTGTCGTTGTTGGTCGGGCCATTAGGACCAAGCAGTTGGGAAACTCCAGTTTTGCCTTGTCGAAGAGAAGCTGCATAACTGAACAAGCTTTTCGGATTGGAGACGAATCTATCGATAAGCTTGGTCTGGAACTGAAGCCTGTCTTCTCTTATTGCCTTTGTGCATGTGTTCCTTATATGTTTGTATTGCCTGTACGTGCCGTTGTTATCAGTTCGTTTATATTCAGCCCAACAGTGCCTTTTGCGGCTTAGCAAACGACGAGTGCGGTTCTTGATGATTGCAGGTTGCTTGTAGCTTTTTGGGACCATTTTAGGAACCGAATGCTCAGTAGCACATAAGATCGTGTGCAGTAAAAAATCCCAATGAGCATCCACTTCAATTTCAGGGCGAACATCCCAATCCAACTGTTGAAGATAGTCCTGTAAAGCTAACACATTCAACCGTTTGAAGTTCCAGCGCTTGTTGCTAGTAGGATATCGTAGCTCCGTCTTGCTGACAAAGCTGAATGATAAGACGGCGTGATCACTTTTGCCCAGGGTAGCCAGGATTGAGAGGTCGTCAACTAGGAATTCTTCGTTTGTGAATACTCAGTCTAAGCGTGACGGCGTCTGACTGTTTCTCCAACGGGTTGCCGACTTCACGTTTTCAAATAATCCCAGGTCGCCGATAAGGTTGAAGAACAGAGCTTCAGTAGAGTTGGCACCACCAATGTATGTATGTTCCACGAAGTTGATTCTAGGGAGATTGAAATCCCCTAGAATCAGGATATGAGAGAATCCGAGACGCGTAGAGCGAGTTAATCCTTCCAGCAGACGTTTGTAATATTCGATGTCGGCGGTAAGCTTCCTGTAAACGACCCCAACTAGGCACCTCGAGGTGGTAGATAATCTTACTGAGCACCATACTGACTCGTCAAGATTGTGAAACTCTTGGTTGTGAAGTTGGTGCGCATCCAGACATGACCGTAATTCTGTAATTCTGTGCCTAAATACATTCGATTGTCCCCACTCGTTTTCTTGTTCAGTACAGTATTACTGAGTTGGTCATTTAAAACTAAAAGTACTTCCTTCTAAAAAGAACATTATTCATAATTATTAAAATGTCTTCCTTTTTAAAGGGAATAAAAGGTTTTCAACCACGTGGTTTTTGCGTGAGGACTAAAGATAATAACTGATCTCTCAAACGTAAGTAGACTTAAAAAAGGTCAAACTAGTGACTAAGTGGCTGAAATCCTAGCAGCTGAAAATTGACTCACTGAACAAAACGTAGGCTATTAGTATAGACTTACAAGTGGAAATTAAAATCACGCTCCCAATTTGAAACGTCGTATTCATTTGGCGAGTTAGTGAATGATGGTTTAGCTCTTGATGCTAAAGAGAAATCGTAAATTCGTCTACTTTTCTCTTGAGAAAGAACAGAGTACGCTTCGTTGATCCTTTTAAACATCTCAATATCACCGTCATTTTTATCAGGATGATACTGTATAAATAACAGATTATAAAAGTAATTAACAGCTTACTTTTTTCGATAGTTCGATAAAAGCTGAACGAATTTCACTATACGAAGCGGATTTCCCAATTCCTAATGTATCATAATGTGTTTGAGATGAAACCAAACGACGAAAATTATACAAGGATTGAAAACTATTTGTTCGGTAAAGTCCAGTGTTCATAGATAGCCAGAAGATTTAACAATCATAGCACGCACAAATTGAATACTAGCTTAACTGAAATGTAGAAAAAATACTTATCACAAACCAAGACCTGAAGAAAATCATAATTTACATGGAGGTACTACAATAAAGTAACCTGTATCTGTCTATTAAAGGCGATATATATAAAACTAAGTTTCGTGGTCGATGATATTTATTACTGATGGATCTGAAGCCTTTAAGAGTTAGTGACTCCACAAAAATCTAGTTGAGTTGTTACTCAATACTGAAGTTAGATATGTGATCCACTAATTATTTGAACAACTGATGAGCTTACGTATGATCCAACTGACCATGACAATTAGACAGTATAAGTGACTAGTTTGTTCAGTGAGTAAAACATGTTTGATTTCAAGAAAGAGCATCACTCCTGCTAGATTACGAGTATAAACTTAATGAGTCCTAGTTTTTTGTCAATAGCTATCAGTTATCTGACTGAAAAAAAGATGGAATATGGTTAGCGAGCCCTCAGTTAAGTCGTCAAACAATTTGATGCTCTAATGTTCCCTAATTTCCGGCGTGAATAATTACGAATAAAAAAAATGTTTTTCAAATTGATGTTCATAAGATTATCATATGAGAAATTTTTTTAGCGTGATACTGACTCTGAGGAAGTTGTGTATGAGTCTTATGTTAAATAATAGATGTTGTGACTAAATACTCTTCGATTCCTCCACTTAAGTCACCTAGATATAATCTACCACACCTTGAACCTCTTTTCTTCAAAGTAGTTACAGACACCAATTAGTATAAGGACAAATTATCACTACAACGCGTATAAATGCAAGTGACATCACTGATCCGCCCATTTAAATTTTAACTACTGGGTCATAGATTCAAACTCTGTTCCACTGACTACGAGTCGTGTTGACTAGCATATTTAGTTTTAAGAAATAAATATTCAACGCTAAGTAGATGATAAACTAGTAGCAAAAATAGTCATCAGTTAACAGCATTTGGGGTTTTAAGCTGAAAGACAAAATTCTGCGGAATAATAACAAAAGTTAACTGAGAATCTCATTACAAAATTAACCATAAAGATCGATAAAAATAAGTTTATTTTACTCCTTCCATATAATTTATCGATTGCTAAATTTAGTTTTGTCACAACTTTCATGCAGTTTCTCAGTCTATTTATAATACGAATATTTTACTATTGTATCGATAACACTGACAATACTAAGTGAAACCATATACAGATCTGTAGCAACTGTACATTACGCAAATTTGTACCGACGTGACATCATTACTTATTCATCCTGTAAGACAAGCGTTCATTTATTTGGGAAGCCGGTTAATTTCTATTTCAGCTGTTGGTGTGCTCCGCCAGTAATCAGTTTTAAAAAAGGTTATCTTGCACGAACAATGAAGGACAGTAATTTAGTAAACAAAATAATTTCACAGCGTAAAATTCCCAAATAGAAGTCTACTTTTGAACGGAGAAGAATCCCACAAAGTACAATTCTTAATATAAGGTTTTGTAGCATGTTCACATTTCTTTTACTTCTAGTGGAAAATATGGGAACTCAAAGCCAAAAAGTTTTGAGTCGGTTAAATTAAACTAAACGAAAAATCGGAAAGCTGGGGTGATAGTGATAGGATTGAACACTAGATTTGAGCATACAAGGTTCAAAAATATAGACATTAATAAATGCAGTGTTGAAACTGGTAATTATATGTATCTATGCATGACGTTTTAAAATAGCGCATTAAACAAGCACCCCCAAAAGGTAAACTTAATATGGTCTATGTGAACAAATGTGGCACAAGCCTGCCATATGGTGAAAACAGACCAGTGCTAACTTATGAGTGACTTTATTCAAATATTGGTGGTGGAGTTATTTATTTAATCATATATATATATATATATATATATATATATATATTGGTACAAAGGGCACCGGATATATATGCGCCACACAAAATAATGAGAATGGGAGAAGGAAGATGTGTATATATAAAAGAAGGAAAAAAAGAAAAGGAGAAGAGTAATGATGGGGGGAACTGAAATGTACAACCAGAAGAGCTCTCTCAGTTAGGAAGGTTATGGCCACTCTTTATGAAGAAAGTAAAAGGTTACAGCAGGCACGCCACTGGCTTCTATTCTGAGCCATATCCGATAACGTCTCTAGCCACTGTGTTGCACCATCTCTCGGACCCCAGCCAGGAAGTCGTGAAGGACCAACAGAAGCTAGCCCTTTGCAGCTTTCTTTCATACCACGACACCATGTCATACACTGACCTCCTCTCCGCTTTTTCCAACCAGTCCCAGAGTCGGCAAATAATGCACGACGTGGAATTCTCTGGGACGACATTCGTAAAGCATGTCCACGCCACCGAAGTCGGTGTTTCAAGATGGTGACACCAATTGAATTATCGACTCTGCCCGAACACACGATGCCGAACCTCTGCATTACTAACATGGTGTTGCCACTGAATGTCAGCAATCCTTCGGAGACAACGATGATCGAACACAGAGAGACGTCCAACATCATCAACTCGGAGAGGCCAGGTTTCACAAGCATAGAGCAAAACTGCTCTCACCGACGCGTTGTAGATCCGACCTTTTACAGCCAGACTAACATCACGAAGGCGCCAAAGATGGCCCAGATTGGCATAAACTGCTCTGGCTTTCATTATACGTGCATCAATCTCATCACTCACGCCACCACCAGCACTTATGTAGCTAGATACACGAACTTCTCAACTACTTCAATCTGCTCACCATCCAGGGTGAGTACAGGATGAGAATCCTGCCAGTCTTGTAGGAGTACCTTGCACTTGGAGGGTGCAAAGCACATGCCGTACCTGCGGACACTGATTGCCAACTGATTAAGTGTGGATTGCATGCCTTGGGCATTATTGCACAGTAAGACAATATCATCAGCATACTCGAGGTCGAGAAATATTTCTCCAGGCAACATATCCACACCGCCATTACTTACATCCATCAGAGCTGTTTCCAGGATGTCATCGATGGCAAAGTTGAAGAGGAATGGTGAGATCGGGCAACCCTGCCTAACTCCGCTGGTCGAATGGAACAAGGGAGAAAGGTGGTTGTATGCCCTCACTCTGCCTGAGGTGTTCGTATACAGGGCCTTTAAGATGTTGATGAACTTCTCAGGCACAGCATTCTTCAATAGACTATCCCAGAGAACAGTCCTGTCCAACGAATCGAAGGCAGCCCTGATGTCAAGAAACACTACGATTGTTGGCCTGCGATAAGTATGACGGTGTTCTAACATTTGGCGGAGGGTGAAGATGTGATCAATGCATGCTCGACCAGAACGAAAACCAGCCTGCTCCTCGCGAGTCAAACGTTCTCGGGTTTTAAACAACCTACGAAGAATGATAAAAGTCAATAGTTTGGGCGATGGTGGTGGAGTCAGAGTTTATATTTAACTGACAATCAAAATGACTACCTCAGATGTAGTTAAACAAGACTGCCCATGTTCTTTTCTTTTTTTATTCGATTTCATTGTACCAATAAGATTGTGTTGACGACTTGAAGCTGTACTTGCCAAAATCGGTTGCAGTCTTTCTTATGCATTTACCCTGCTTTATTTCCTAAAACTGAAGCATAGTATTAACTCTTAACTTGCATTGTTTGGTTGGATTGGCTTTTCGGGCAGCACGTTTCAGATTTTGAAAGACATCGAAATTTCATTTACTTAGCTTCCGGCTTTTTATTTCATGGAGTTTCTGAGCACAGTTTGTTAATTAATTGTAGAGTGGTGAAATCTGTCTAAAGAACATATCATGAGGCTTATAAATGCCTATAATTTCCTAGTTCAACAATAGTGTACTCTTAGAGACGCCACAAGTTTTAGGTACTTAAATGTTAATTTAGCAAATATTCGAATATTCATTCATGCTGCTCATATTATTTTTATCACTGCTAAGACATCTGTCATACTACTAGAAAGTGAACTTATTTATTATTATAGGTCGCGTGATTCGCTTCATTATCAGTGATCGATAAACTAATTTTATTTGTTTTTCATTATATATCCACGAAACTGCCATTGTCGTTAAATGAAAACTCAGAACGTTTGTCTAAAAGCAGCATTGTTCGTGAATATGAATAGTTTACGCATTCTGCTAACGTTGAGTGAAAACTATTCTATGGTTATTGTAACCAGTTAGAATTTGGGGCTAAAATTTGGACAAACTGACATGTCGAAAAGTTTTTCTTACTACTTTTTGAGGAATGACTGTACCTCATCTGCTTATTAGTAAGATATACACATCCAGTGGATAATTCGGCGCTAGTTTCGAGGATAGGTAGATATTTAAATTCCGGGGAGTAGTGTTAACTTCAAGAAGTTCCCCTATAGTGGAAAAAATTCTCACTACTTATATCGAACTGGCGAACAAGGCGAAACTAAACCATATGGACGACCTTTGAACGAATTTTAAATGACCTTGAAAAATGTTAGCCAATCAGAAGACAGTTAGTATACAGTAAAAATATATTATACAAAACTCAAAAATTAAAGGGGATACCGTTCTTTCACATGACTCAAGAACTTATCAAGGTTAGATATAGGTTCATAAGTTCTAAAATCATAGTGCATCCGGCACAGGAACTCATCCATGTGGTTCCATAGTAGTCGACTTCTGGGACCATGATAAGGTTTCAAAAATTCTTTTAGCCTCGACCACATAGCTTCAATGTTGTTTATGTCGGTATGGTTTAAGGTTTAGGGTTAAGGATGGGACTATTAATTATGGACGACCTTTGAGCGACGCTAGTGACTCTGAGAGTGTCAACATAATAACTAAGACTAAATGAGGGTTATAAACCTATGTGAAGAATTCAAATTATGATTTACAGCTCATGGTCAAGGTTAGGAATTATACTTAGGCTTTTCATTACGAGCTGACATCAGCTATAATGCCGAAACTCTATTTATCCACATGGATAATTGGATTTCGCGCCAAAATCTTACTATCACCTG